ACACACACACACACACACACACACACACACACACACACACACACACACACACACACACCTCCTCTGCTGCCTCTCCTAACAATGGCCTGTGAACTCTGACACGTCTGCACTCAGCATGCTGCCCTCATTTTAATTGCATCAAATGTTTCTTTTTATTTCCTCAAATCTAACTTCAGGACTGCTACAGATCTTTCTTTTTTCTGTTGAATTAAATTTCTTCAAAAATGAAATTCAATAATATTAAAAGTTACCTTAGAGTTTCATAATTATTGTGCTTGAAAAAGCTACGACACAAACAAAAAGTTTAAATTCTGTCTTTAAGTTACTTGATATAACTATGATTTCAGTTAGTGTGTAATATATTTTGATTTTATTAAGACCTGTCCCCCCCTGGAAAAAATCATTTCAATTTTAATGTTCTTTTTTTTCCTGCAGGAACCCAAATGATGCAGAAATGTGTCTCTTGTGGTCTGAAAGTGTGCCCAGCTCCTGTGTTCCTCAGGGATATGAGAACCACAGCTTCATCAGCCAGGATGGGCAGAAACGCAGCATCCTCTCCATCACTTCATGTCAGTGCCAGGAGTGAACACAGCGCCCTCTGCTGGAGAACTGCTCTTAACTGTGGCTTTCAAAGACTGGACCACGAGGCAAAAAAAAAAAAAAAAAATGAAGGGGAAAAAAACATAAATTCTGGTCTTTTAGGGCCACTCTCCTGCATGTTTTAATGGTTTCGCTTCACTTTGTCGGGTCTTCATGTTCTGCAGCAGCTTGTTAATCACCTATTCATTCAAATCAGCAGAGAAGCATCTCAAGTTATGATATAGCTATCAAAAAGAAAACGTTGCAAACAAGTTCTATTTAATCAAACAAGATATCAGGGATAAAATAAAGAAAATGGACAAGAAAAAAAATCTAAAATTTGACACACCGGTTTTGAATGAGAGAGTGATGAAGAGGCAGAACATGAAGCTCTGCAGAAAAACAGACAAACTAAAACATGCAGAGCAGGAGCCTTCAAGGACCGGACACCGCTTACTTAAAAAAAAAGCTAAGTAATTGTATATTATGTGTTATATGTACAGATGATAATTTTGTAAATTTAATACATTTTGTCCTATTCTTGGGTGTCCTGAAAGGTGCTTTATAAATAAAATGCATTATTATTATTATTATTATTATGTAATTATGTTAGAAAAACTTTAAACTGACAATAAATAAAATGTAAAAACATGAGATCCCAAAGTGCTTATGGTAAATGATTCAAGATGAACAAAAATAGTGAGATTTTCTGTGTGCTCTTCTTTTGTGTACATTTTTGTGTAAGTATAGTTCTGTTTTTAGTTTATGTGCATCTAAATTTATTGTTTCAGATGAAAAATACATTTAAAATGAAATCCAGTGTGGTTTTGATGTCTGCAGCTTTCACACTCATTTTAGCAGCAAAATGCTTCTTTTGTTCCACGTTGAGAGTAAAATAAGTTGTGCAATAAAATCCTGAGTTTAGTCAAAATAAATCTTGAAGAGGACAAAAATAAGTGTGGCTTTAAAACAACACACGTGCAGGTCCTCTTTAACTTCATATTGTGGTGTGAAAAAAACACTTCCTTGTCACGTTTCACTTAAAAAGAAACGCTTTATTGCTCTTCTGCATGCTGTGACGACAAGAAAAAAATCTTTGATCTCCTGCAAGTTTATTGCAGTGAAGAAAACGTTTTTTTTTTCCAGCCCGGCACAATTTGCTCGTGCGTAATTGTGCGTAAAGATCAAAGGACGCAAATGGCACAGAGAAAACACTGGAATCCCAGAATAAAAAGTATTAGTGGATATTTTTTAAACAAATCAAGCCTCGTGATAGAAACTTTGTGCTAATTTTTCTGAGTGGGTTAAACTGGTGGGGTTCACCGAGCTGAGGAAATGGATGTAAAGTCGCGCCACAAGTAAAGGCGTTTAAAAATGAAATAAACTGGATGATTATTCAGCTGGAACTGGATAAACAGTTATGTTTATCCAAGTGTAGCCAGTAACACCTGTGTCTTTACAGAAGTAATTGGTTTCCACTTAAAACAATGTGGCCCATTGTTCCAAATTAATGGATTCATTGACGCGCGGCTGACCCCCCACAGAGAGCGCTCCGGTTCCGTTCAAGGTTTGGACATTTTCTGCTCTTTATTCTCACAAATCATATCAAACTTGTTGTAAAATAGAGAAACATTCCTTTATATTTACGAATCCAGTTTATTCAAACCTGACAGCATTGTTTGAGCTTTCTCTTTGCCAGACATGAAGACAAAGGCTTTGAATTAAATCTCCAAACAGGTTCACACCTTGTTAACGCCGCCATTACTCTTCCTTTTACATTTGCTGATTGGTGATTTACATTTGCGGCCAAATAGCATCTTTACTGCTGTTTACCCAGGCTTGGGGGGGCAAAGATGAGAGGAACCGGGGGCGGATTTGATATAAAAAGTCGAACCTCCGGGAGTTAACAGTCAATCCCAACTCCAAGAACAAGAGACTGATGAACCGGGAGACTTCTCACTCAACAAAGATGTTGCTGTTTGTGATCAGATTCGCCATTTTCTTGCGCGTCAGCTCAGCGTGGCCTTCGCTCAGCCACCAGGAGGATGATTTTACCTCCGAGGACGAGCCGGAGGAGGTCCGCTCCGCGGCCATCAAGAGGCTTTTGGAGGTCTTTGGAATGGAGGACCCTCCTGCGGTCCATGGACACAAACAGCCGCCTCAGTACATGCTGGATCTGTACAACACGGTTGCTGATGTGGACGGTGTGACCAAGGACCCCTATCTGCTGGAGGGGAATACTGTGCGCAGCTTCTTTGACAAATGTGAGATCTGTTTTTAGTCTGAGGAGTTCCTTATGAACTAAAAAAAAAAAAAAAAAAAAAAAAAAAAAAAAGAAGATAAAATAAATCCATTACCTGTTCTGGTGTCTAATGGTGAGTTTTCTTTTCTTTTCAGTGCGCAGTGAACAGGTGGAGTTCAGGTTCAATTTGTCAATAGTTGCAAGAACAGAGAAGGTTCTCACCGCAGAGCTTCATCTCTTCAAGCTGCGCCCTCAGACATCATCCAGCAGACATCACTTCTGTCAGGTATTAAAACAACTGTTTAAGAAAAAAATGTATCTTTACCTGCCTTCTTTCTGACACACTGGCTGCTGCATCACACAGGTCAGTGTTTATCAGCTCCTGGACAACAGAAAGACCAACAGCACGCAGGGGAGGAAGCTGCTGTCCTCTCGGCTGGTCCCCGTCCACTCCACGGGTTGGGAAGTGTTCACCATCACACAAGCTGTAAGGATCAAGACTCGCTTTCCAAACCAGTGATTAAAAAAAAAAAAGAACACGTGCTTTAACTTTTGTTTTTGGTTTAATCAAGGTCCGCTCCTGGATGCAGGATGAAGGCAGCAACCTGGGGCTCCAAGTGGTGGTTCGGAGTCTGGGAGGAAGCCAGGTGGACCTGAAGCTGGTCCGCTTTGCTTCGGGGCGACACCACCACCAGAGCAAGCAGCCCATGCTGGTTCTTTTCACCGATGACGGCCGCCGCTCTGCTACGCTCGAGAGTCAGAGTAAGACTTGTGACCATTTTGTTGTTTCTTTCTGATGGTGACTGTTCTCTGGTGGTCTATTTGCTGACCAACAGGGTTATGTGTACTCTTTATATTGTCCAAATCAGTGGTGGATCTAGGATTTTTCAGTGTACGGGGGCCATCAAGGGGCCACAGTATTCATAGAGGGGCCAAGTATTTGTTCAACATGCCTGCACACAAATCCCCAGTTTTTGTAAGGTGTATAAATTTAATTAATCACATATGTTCAGAGACACTTGTAAAAGCTCAAACTGTAAAAAATCCTTATTAATTTTACATGCATTTTTACTGTACATGAATAAAATACTCTCAAACACACAACATGTGAGAAAATCCAGCCATTGTTGTCAGTTAAAATACTCTTTCTACAGTTCAAATTGAAAAAGACTTGTGTAAGCTTGCTTCTTCCTGGACTTTCCTTTTTGACTCATTAGCGCCACTACTGTTTGGAAGTTGAACTGCAACCACTCTTGGGCAAAGGACAGATGAGTGACAGGACAGGGGCACTTCATCAGATTTCAGATGGGGTTAATGCCCCTGTGCCCCCACCCCTAGAACCGCCCCTCGTACAAATAATAAATGAATTTTCTAAGGAGAATCAGCATTTGTCATAGTTGACATCAAACTTTTGGAAAGATCGACTCCTCTGCTTCCTATGCATTAAAGAAAATGAAATGTGTCACTTCTAACTCCTAAAACCTGCTTCCTCTTTCAGATCCCCATGAGGTCATTTCCACTTCCATCCTCCCACAGATCTCCATGTCAGGCTCGCCGTCCCGCAGCGCTCGCTCCCTGGACCACGTGGACGAGGAAGGCCGGCTGAAGCCCTGCCAGCGCCTGCCTCTGTACGTCGACTTCGAGGAGATCGGCTGGTCGGGCTGGATCGTGTCTCCCCGGGGTTACAACGCCTATCACTGCAAGGGCTCCTGCTCCTTCCCTCTGGGTCAGAACATGAAACCGACCAACCACGCCACCGTCCAGTCCATCATCAACGCCCTGAAGCTGATCAGAGGCATCCAGACGCCGTGCTGCGTGCCCGACAAGCTGTTTTCCATCAACTTGCTCTACTTTGATGACGACGAGAACGTCGTTCTGAAACAATACAACGACATGGTGGCTGGAAGCTGCGGCTGCCACTGAACGCAGACTGTTTCTGCTGTGTGAACACACAGACACTAAAATAATGTACATTCAGTTTTTATTTGTAGACAACCTTTTTCCCTTCGACCCTGAAATCATAAGTAATGTGCGAAATTGTATGTTGGACATTGTAGTATATGTAAATATTCATAAATAATAATAATATATGACTGTGATGGAAGTGATGTCCAGTGAAATATGTAAATGTGTATATTTTATTTTTCTGCTTTTTTACTGATTTAGGCAAAAATAATAAATGATTTATAAAAAAAAGTGATGCGTGAGTTTTTTTAAAGAGTTTCACACAAAAACGGCTTTTGAAAATGGTTTGAAATAAAACTGCACTTCTCATATGCAAAGCTGAAAAAAAATTCGCTCTTGGTATATTTTTGAAAATGAGCATGATAAAACTTATTTTCTACATAAACAAAACCCAACTTGTCTCTCATTAAAACTTCTTTTTAGCACATGACAAAACCCTGCCTCTGCAGACTGTAACCCGAGAGCTGAGCGAGGCGTTGGCCATAGAGTGGCACTAAAGGGGGTTGAAACCACCTGGCATGATTCTGGACGACAGCCCTTATTCATCGTCAGAGGGGCTGCTATTCACAATGAAGAAAACGATGAAATGCTGCCATTATAGTGGCAACCAAAGGGCCCGGCTGCGGCTCGAAACCCGATCTCCACTTTGGCTCTGGCCTCCTTTTGTCCCAGTTTTTCATATCTGACTTGGCCACCATAAAAAAAAGAAGGTTCACTCGGTGCTGCAGCAGCAATGGAGCTGAGGCTTGGTGTTTGTTCGCTCAGACATGGGGAATAAACAAACAATCTTCACAGCACAGCAGCTGGATGCCTATCAGGTCAGTGTCACGATTGCCTCCGTCTGAAATAGATCCGCTCTTGTCACTCATTGTGCGACATGTTTGTTAAAGATTATTTTAAATGCACTGTTTTACTTGCAAAAAAAGACTGTCCTGTGATGCATCCTTCAGGTGTGGAGCTCAATGTGAGCCTGGATGTCTATTGATCTGATTTTGCTTCACAATTCTTCTTTTTACTTAACCAGGAAAAAAACCTTTAAGCTTTAACACTTTTTTTTTTTACAAAAGGCCAGGTAGCAGCTCAAAACAAAGCACACACCTTGATAAAAACTTTACATGCCAGCAGGCCTTATAATCAGTAGCAGAAATCCTCAATCAGAACATTTTTATCCAGATGTTTGTGCATTTTGATGAGTCACAAAATGTAAATGCAGGCAGTTTTGGAGCTCATTTTAAGCATGTGGGTCAGCATATTTAAATGTTTACCTAACGCAGTACCTTGCAGTACCTATAAAGGAACAAACCATGTGAACCAAGAAAGCAGCCAATTGTGTTTTTTTAAAGGATGTAGACGCGAAGGAAGAAGCCAAAAATAACTTTGTATACAGAATTATTTTATTTACAGAATTATTTGCATTCAGACACTGCATCAATCTCTGAACTGCAAAGAAAAGTAACAGATAAAACAAGAATTTCCATTTTGTGCTGAAGAGCAAAGCAAATTCAGTCTTGGCATCAAAAATTAGTCTTGAATTGCCTGAAAAAATGCTGACAGGGATTAAGAGATTGTTTTAGCTTATGACAAACCTGTTGAGCTGTAGGTAAAGTACATCACAGTATCGTCAGCATAAAATGAAAACTAGGGTTCGATACATCATATTTTGGATTGCTAATGTATAAATAAACAAAAGTGACCCCAGATCTAAGCCTTGAGGAACACCTTTAGCTATATTAGGAAAGGATATTTATATCAAGTCTCTCAACTCTGTTGAAATTTGTATTTTTCAGTTTTATTTTTCATCACAAAAACAACCTCTCTTACAGAGTTTACTAAATAACCTAAATTTCCTGCCATGATCTATTTGTTTTTGCAGGATTGCACATACTTTACAAGAAAGGAAATTCTCAGGTGAGCATACCGTTTTTGTTTGTTCACTTGTTTTTGTCTCATTGACCTACACCAAAGTGCTGAAAAATCATAACATTATGTTTTTAAAATATCCTAATTTAGGAGTTTCCTCCAATGAAATGCAGGCAAATTTTTGCCAGTTCTGCACAAAAACAAACGGTAAAGCTCTAAAGTTACATTGGTGGAGTTCTGCTGCTGTGAGGCAGGTTGTCTCTGAGATCACTTGCTGTTATAAACTGTCCTCTAAGAACTTTATGTGCTTTTTAAGCTTCCACTGACAAAGCTTCCACTGACAGCTCATTCATGGAGCAAATTGACATCACCAAATATATTTGGCAATTTGAGACTGAAAGTGAATTTCTGAAACCTTTCCAGACTCTTCTACCGCTATCGGGATTTGGCCCCGCAGCTCGTTCCTCTTGACTACACCAAGCAGCCAGATGTGAAGTTACCATACGAGCTGATCGGCAGCATGCCAGAGCTGAAGGTAGACCCAGTGGACCAGTACAAACCCTGCAGACCCGCTCCACTCCCCCGCGCTTCTGTTCCTGATCCATAATTAATGAGCAACTAATCGACAGAATTCTTTGAAAGGTTATACGTTACCCGACTCTTTTAAACTTGAAGAATGCCAGTGGGTCCCTGAGGGCACCCTTGGTAGGAATGGAACAATTATATGCCTCTTTACGCAAACACAGCAAGGTAAACATGTTTATTGTTTACTGACAGGAGCTGAGCATGGGGGATGGGGCTGCTCTAAACTAATAATGCAAATTGTGCCACTTAGAGCTATCTTTAAGTACTATGTAAACTCAAAATTTAGCATTATCTCATATTCAGGCCTAAGTCAAAAGTTTTAGGGTCTCCGGTAACTTCATGAGTTTCTAAGGTTGATTGTTTTAGATTTAATCAGATCTCCCTAAAAATTCTGTTTTCTGATCAGGACAACCCATTTCGCCAGAGGATCGCTGAGGTTTTCTCTGAGGACGGACAGGGAAACATGACCCTGGACGACTTCTTGGACATGTTTTCGGTTCTCAGTGAGATGGCTCCCCGTGACCTCAAGGCCTACTATGCTTTCAAAATTTATGGTGAATAATGTTTCTGTTTTACCACATAAGGCCCTCTTACTAGACGGAGAGGTTGCATACATATAACAAGGTCAATGTCAAAAACTACAAAATACGAGCTGCAGGGGCATCTAGGATTGGTGACTCAGAGTAGGATCACAACCTCTCTCTGTGATTTAACATAATCTTTATTTATGTAAAGATTTCAACAACGACGACTTCCTCTGCAAGTCGGACCTGGAGAAGACCCTGAACAAGCTGACTCGTAACGAGCTGACGGAGGAGGAGGTGAGGATGGTGTGCGAGAAGGTGATCGATGAGGCCGACTTGGACAACGATGGGCGCCTCTCGCTCGAAGACTTCCAGCACATGATAGTCAGAGCTCCAGATTTCCTCAGGTAAACCAGCGGAGGCAGGTGAATACAAACGTCTGACACTGATTAGATCTAATTTCAGGTTGTCGTTTTGGTTCACAGCACCTTCCACATAAGGATTTAAGGAATTCATGGGATTTCAAGAAGAGCCCAAACGAATGGACTGAAAATCTTCACAAAGACTTTACATCTTGTTCAAACCTCTTAATTTAGGTAAAAGGAGCTTTTTATTTCTGGTAAGTTCTTGTAGAAATAATGCGCTGTTCAAAAATGGCATGTCTGAATAAAAGCAGGAATCCACTTGGATGTCTAACAAAACTTTATTCTCATCTGACTCCAATCAGTTTCAGACAGCATTCAGCACAGCAGTCAGACCTCAGCCTTGAACTAAAACACAAACAAAACAGCCCAGTCTGTCCAGGCTGGATCTGACAGTGTGTCTGCAAAACACTAACAACTTCCCTAAATATGAATTGACCTTATAACCTCTCCAGGCTCTTCCTGGTTACACCCCTGAAGGTGGTACCATTTTACGTCTGACGTAGAACTCATTTTTTTGTTTAGGCTAGAGAGAGAACACATGATAACACAACTCTCATTCTTTAAACTTAAAGGCTGCAATGATCAGGAAGTATAAAATACAAAACTGCATCTTACATTTAGTTAATCATTTACCAAATTTCCTCCATTCTCCTAAACCAAGTCATTTAAACTCAAAACTTGAATCACATTCAGAGCTGATTTAAATCTACAGAACTAAAAACAGCAGGAGGTTTGGCTAATCCATCGAGACAGGCTTCATTAATTTTAACCGTCAACAGGAGATTTGTTTTGTATCTAATGGAGTTTGGTTACACTGAGCTATAAAGGAAACACGTGACAGAATATTGGCTCTCAATGGGCCGATGAGGGGGTACAGTTTGTCCAGCTGAGGCCCGGGGTCAAATGAAAGCTGTTGGTCAATGAAAACACTGAAACAAACTGGATGGAGGTGTAAAACTGTACTGTTGAACTGGGAACACGTCACCTCTCCCCACACATTAGGATTTTTCGACAAAGTTCCCGGAGAGCTGAGATTGCAGTGTGAACCTTCAGGGGCTTTGAATTGTTTCTTTTAAATGAGCCTTTATTTAACCAGGTAAATCCCATTGAGATCTCATTTGTAAGGAAGGCCTGAAGGCAGCCTAACATGCATCATTTTTGGTCTGTGTTAGAAAACTGGAGAACAAACTGGAAAACACATGCAAGCACAAGGAGAACATGTAAACTCCGCACAGAGAACCCTGGTCTGATCAGGAGATTGAATCCAGGACCTTCTTGCTGTGAGGCATCTGCGCTAACCACTGAACCATTGTGCTGCACTGTTTTATCAATCAGAGACCTCATTTAACAAGAAAAAGCTGAAAACATTCATTCGTTATCTTTTACCTGCTTTGTCCTTTCAGGGTCGGTGGGGTGGGGGGTCACACGTTTCTATATTCTTGTTTTGTGAATTGAACTCGTTTCCATTCAGATTCCCAGGATTTAAAGTCTTTTGTGTCAGCTGAGAGCAAACATGTTCCTCAGTGAAAATGTGTTGCATCCTGACCTGTGCTATTATATTACTGTTATATTAGGTTTATAGTAACTAATTACTTTTACTTTGTTACGGTACTCAAGTAATTTTTTTTGAGGATTTGTAATTTGTTATACTTTTACTTGTATTTCGTTATATTTAAAACCTAAAAATGATACTTTTAAATCTGTACTTTAACATTTAACACCTACAAAACTAAACATGACAGAACTCATCATGAAAGGCGAAAAGTTGTGAAAGTTGTTTATACACTTCATGTCAACTGGTTCCACTAAACTTAGTAAATATGAAGCATGAAGAAAATATGTAAAATGCTCAGTTTACTCAACCTGGTTTAGTGGAGCTAGTTTGATTAAGTAAATTCAACAGTTTATTTCTTAGAAAGTGTGTAAAAGTATTTTTACTTTTACTTTCCTGATGTTTGTGAACAGGTTTTAGGACTTTTACTTAAGTACTTTTCTCATCAGTGAAATGTATTTTTACCAGTCATTTTCTGTTAAGGTATTTTTACTTTTACTTAGTTTTTTTTCAAGTACTTTATAGACCTCTGAATGTTAAAGACCTTATATTACTATATATGTGGTGGTTTGGATGGAAATCAGCCTGTGGCTGATATTTGTAACAGAAAGCGTTGTATTAAAATAGATCTAAGCATCTCTAGAAAGATAAAGAGAGGAGGAGGTGTGGGGGTGGATTAAATGAAGTGATGCTGAAATCAAGAATTAAGCAAGTCATTTGGTCTTTTGTGGTAATTTATTTTAAAATATAGTAAGTTATAAGAAATAAATACTATAGCAGGTGACAAGTTCAACAGACCTTCATGCATCTGTATAACTTGCGGCAACAGTGAAAACAAAACAGGAAGCATATTGCACTCATCTGAGCATAATATGAAGCAGATCATCTGGCACAAATTCCTTCATTTAGACAAGATCAGGACCTTATCAATGACCTTATTATTCAGTAATCAAAACAGAACATGCTTATCTGACAGTATTCATAGCACATTTAAATCCACAAGTATGACGTTTTATTTCAGTAACACAAGGCATGAAATGCTCTTTGGAATAAGTAACATAAAATAAACTGTATTTATACACTCACCGGCCACTTTATTAGGTACACCACGCTAGTAACGGGTTGGACCCCCTTTTGCCTTCAGAACTGCCTCAATTCTTCGTGGCATAGATTCAACAAGGTGCTGGAAGCATTCCTCAGAGATTTTGGTCCATTTTGACATGATGGCATCACACAGTTGCCGCAGATTTGTCGGCTGCACATCCATGATGCGAATCTCCCGTTCCACCACATCCCAAAGATGCTCTATTGGATTGAGATCTGGTGACTGTGGAGGCCATTTGAGTACAGTGAACTCATTGTCATGTTCAAGAAACCAGTCTGAGATGATTCCAGCTTTATGACATGGCGCATTATCCTGCTGAAAGTAGCCATCAGATGTTGGGTACATTGTGGTCATAAAGGGATGGBCATGGTCAGCAACAATACTCAGGTAGGCTGTGGCGTTGCAACGATGCTCAATTGGTACGGAGGGGCCCAAAGAGTGCCAAGAAAAGATTCCCCACACCATGACACCACCACCACCAGCCTGAACCGTTGATACAAGGCAGGATGGATCCATGCTTTCATGTTGTTGACGCCAAATTCTGACCCTACCATCCGAATGTCGCAGCAGAAATCGAGACTCATCAGACCAGGCAACGTTTTTCCAATCTTTTCTTGTCCAATTTCGATGAGCTTGTGCAAATTGTAGCCTCAGTTTCCTGTTCTTAGCTGAAAGGAGTGGCACCCGGTGTGGTCTTCTGCTGCTGAAGCCCATCTGCCTCAAAGTTCGACGTACTGTGCGTTCAGAGATGCTCTTCTGCCTACCTTGGTTGTAACGGGTGGTTATTTGAGTCACTGTTGCCTTTCTATCAGCTCGAACCAGTCTGCCCATTCTCCTCTGACCTCTGGCATCAACAAGGCATTTCCGCCCACAGGACTGCCGCTCACTGGATGTTTTTTCTTTTTCGGACCATTCTCTGTAAACCCTAGAGATGGTTGTGCGTGAAAATCCCAGTAGATCAGCGGTTTCTGAAATACTCAGACCAGCCCTTCTGGCACCAACAACCATGCCACGTTCAAAGGCACTCAAATCACCTTTCTTCCCCATACTGATGCTCGGTTTGAACTGCAGGAGATTGTCTTGACCATGTCTACATGCCTAAATGCACTGAGTTGCCACCATATGATTGGCTGATTAGAAATTAAGTGTTAACAAGCAGTTGGACAGGTGTACCTAATAAAGTGGCCGGTGAGTGTATATAATGATGGTAATTTACATATAATGTCATTGTTTCTGTTTAAATAGCATATAAAAACAATAAAAGCTTACCAAAGTGCTTTATAATTCAGCCAAAGAAAAAAGTAAAACTAATAGCGGAAAAAGTGCAGTAAGAAAGCTCAGTCCACACTATCTGTCTGTCCACAAAAACTGGATTCTCAGAACAAGCTGCAGCTGGTCTCTCTCTGAGGCACTTCAGTGCTGCTGCTCTGATGCGAGTCAGTTTCCTGCAGCAAATTAAACACACCATGAAAAACTAATTATTCCACACTGGTCCAAAAGTGGGAAGAACTGCCATAAAATGAATGAAAGTATTGTTTCCACAACCAAACACAGCATATAAGAAACTGTAGCACACTGTGTATTTTCTCACCATTTTTGAGACAAATTTTGACTTCATGTCTCTGGCAAGAGTCAAGAATGCCTGGAAAACCAAATTGAAAAAACTGTCAATTTCCATTATTCTGAAAATAGCTGCACATTAGAAGCACAGGAATAACAGTGAGTATGATTAGCGTATTATTACTGCTAGACAAGGTAAAGATACTGCTGTAATGCACCACTCTAAAAGTCTAGAGAAAATAATAAAGACTGGATGAAGGTGAAAATTACGTCTGAAAGAAAATCTATGATTACACAAAATGCAAGCAAAATGACTAAAAAGAGATCAAAGCAAATTATCTTTAAAAAGGAGCAGCTCACGTTTTCCACATTAATGCTGGACTTTGCACTGGTCTCCTCGAACTTGATCCCATACTCCTGAGTAAGCTGAACAAAAAGAAGGAAATGTGTTAAATCTTAACTGACGTACATTAAAGTGCTTGTTTTACAATAATACCAAGATAAATCGTTAATTATCCAAGTTCTCACCATCTCTCCACTCTCTTTGGACACCTTCCTGTCTTTGTCAAGGTCACATTCATTGCCAAGGAGCATCTTCTCAACATCTGCTGATGCATGCTAAATTAACAAAAGAATTTTTTTTTAAATACATTAAAGTGTTGCACGAGAAACAAAATCTTTTAATGTAGCATAATGAGCATGTAACGGAGGCTACATTACCAGTACATACTTCCTCCATCGCTTTCTTCCAGTCCTTGGTTTTTTTCAAAAGAATACTCATTTGTGATGTCGTACAAAACCATGAAGCCCTGTGAAGGACACATTGTACATACAATAAATACAGTGAAAGAAAATTGTTTCAAAAGGAAGTTAAATTTTGTAGGTTTGGAAAAATAATCACCTTTGCTCCTTTGCAGTGCGGTGCCATGCATTTTATGAAGTAATCAAGACCACATGTATTCCTGAAAGAGTACAATGTAACTGACTTAAATATTATAAGAAAACCATTTGTGGGAACAATAGAATTTTATGTTGCATTTAACAATAAGGTAGTTGGTTTATTTTGAATAGAAATTCTGAACGTAAACTAAACTTTTCACTAGCAGATGGTGGAGGTGTTGGTTGTGACCTCTTACTGAGTTTCACACATCTGCCTTTGATTTTTCAGCCACAATAAGGCACAAATGCATTCTTAAAAATCACTATTTTATTGCAGAAGTTAACAGGAGACCTTATTTAAATAAAATCAGCTGTTAAAGCTTTATTCTTTTAAACATTGATGAACTTTCATAAGGTTTTGTAGTGCCTCATGTTTGGAAGTCTGTTTGTACTTTTACTAAGGAAAAAAAATGAATAAACACTGTCCTGATGTTATTTATTCATTCAGGGTTCTTTAAAAACAGACAAAAAACCCACCATATCTCTAACTTTATCTTCTTGCCGTCGAGCTCTATTGTCTTTAAGATGAAGGAAGCGCCTACAGAAAACAAAGTTGTTGTTTATTTATATATCTTTAAGTGTATTCATCATCAGTTTTACACACAGACACACATATCCTGATGAATAACACCAAGCCAACGTTCTTTATATTAGAACTGGAGACCAGATTAATGCCATCCAGAGGAAGTGAAAGGCTGCAAAAATTTTTGCTAAGATGTTCAGGTCCAAAAACCACAACCTCTGTTTTATCTGAATTTAGAAGCAGAAAATTAAGAGTTATCCAAGTTTTTATGTTTTTGTCATGCTTGTAACTGATTGGATTAATCAGGTATCATCAGCATAACAATGGAAGCATTTATAAAGTAAAGATGATTGGGCCAAGCACTGAAACCTGAGGAACTCCATGGCTAACTCTGGTGCAAGAATATTCATTGTTAACATTAACAAACTGGAATTTGTCAATTAAATATGATTTAAAGGGGCAATGTCATGTAAAATCAACATTTTTGAGTTGTATATCATGTTATAATGTTATACTCTCATAAAAACATGCCCAAAGTCTTAATCTTGTAGCGTTTTTAGGAAGCCATGCTGAGGAGAAAAACAACATGTGGGGACCAGAAATGCCCTTTGGTACCAGAAACACCCCTAGGACTTGTCTTTTAGCCGAACTTCCTCGTGGCATAGCGCACCCCCTCCCCACTCCCTCCCCACACACCCCACCCATGACTCCTGCAGGCTCTGGGTGAAACTGAAAGTGAAACCTAACTGTCTGCTGAGCTCTCAGCATTAGTTCTCACTCATTGAAGCTCTTTTCAGATTAAAAATACTTTTAAAGGAAATGTATTCTCAGATGCCAAGTAAAGTGCATCATAGCGCACGTGCAACCCCCCAAAGGTGACATATACAGTACTTATGGTATAGTATTTCAATATATGCCTGAGAAACACATAATATTGGCCCTTTAAACCATTTTAGAGCTGTTCCTGTAATCCCAATATCAAGTTCAAGTCTACGTAATAAAATATTGTGATCAGTTGCATCAAGCATTGAGATCTAACAGGACAAGAATGGACACAAGTCCACTGTCTGAGGCCGAGAATATCATTAGTAATTTTCTGTTTCTGTGCTATGATGAGCTCTAAACCCTGACTGAAACTCCTCATATAATTTCTATCAAGATGTTCACATATTTGCAACTATTTTCTCAAGAATTTTTTTTAATGAATGGGAGATTAGATATAGGTCTATAATTGGCCAGAACTCCTGATGCTTCTTAAGTATAAGTTTAATTACAGCAACCTTAAAGCTCTGTGGTACATAACCATTCATTAGAGACAACTTAATATATCTAAAATATGGATATTAATTAYGGGAAATGCTTCTTTGAACAGTCTGGTTGGGATGAGATCTAGCAGACATGTTGATGGTTTGGATGAAGCTATTATTTTAGATAATTCAGACACCTCAACAGGACAACTGTCCAGACATAAATCAGGTTCTAGTGACACTAAAGCTGCCTCATCTGACAGAGAATCAGAGACAATAGCAGAAAGGTTGTTGTGAATTTTATTTCTAAATAATATCTATAAAGAATCTCATGAAGTCATCACTACTTAGAGTTATAGGGATACAGCTCAACAGAGATAGGACTTTTCATATGTCTACATACGGAACAGATAACTGGGATTGTTTTTATTCTCTTCTATTAAAGATTAATATTACTATACAGAACAAAGAGCTATAACTGATAATGACTTAATAGCAAATGGCAGTAGGACAAGCTTGCAGTGACACTGTAACTAAACAACTGAAGTGACAAAAAAAGCTGTTTTGTAAAAATAAAGAGCATCCTGACACAAAAGAAAGTTTAGATCATCTTCCCCCATTAAAAACTAAAAAAATGTAAGCCTTACCTATTGTTGCAAGCATCTGTTTAAAGTCGTCGTTTAAAAACCTGTTGATGACACAAGTCTTCCCGATGTTTTCATATCCGACTAACACTATTTTGAAGAAACAATCGTCCATTCTCGCCATACTTGACATTATTGCGAAAACGCAGAGCACGCACTGGTTTTGTCACTTCCACTGTCGAAACAGTGAATCAAATCAATGCACTGGGAAAAAAACTGTTTTTTTTTTTCATTTCATTTTTTATTAAACCAAAAGTACATATTTACAAATTGTATACATTTGATATGGGTTTAGAAAGTACAGTACAGTTAGGTAGACTCATTTTCCCCCATGTGATGTTTATTCTTACTAATCTCCCCATGAACTTCACAATGGACGGAATGCAAATATGGATGGTAAAATGTGTTTATTAAAACGTGAAAGGAATCTTAAGAGATATGTAAAAAAATTTAAATAAAAGCTGCACTAATCCATGAGATACTGATACAAACTGAGTTCTGCCTCTTCCTGTTACTGACTTAAAGGAGCCGTAAGAGGAAAAGAGCACCGTTTCAGACCATTTCTGCAGAAAAAGCCTTCATAATTCTAAACTAAAGTTGAAACAGAGTTCATGAACGACTGTTTTCTTTTCAGGTCAGTGAAACAGAGCAACAGCAGCCCAGATGTTTGGCTGTACAGGTCAACATGGACGTGTAACAATCACACAAACGCTCAGGTCCACGACTCACGGCTCTGACGAAGCAAACTATTTGGAAACTGAGCGAGACATTTCAGAACATCACAGATTTAAATCCACTCTGGTTTATGTTTTCAGAAAGAAAATACGGACTGAAATTTAAGTCTGGATGTGTATCCAAGAGGTGTCACCTTGCATCAAACTCAAGGGCTACAAATAGTTTTTTTGTTTGTTTGTTTTTTTGGACAAAAAAAGGGCTACAAATAGTATTGGAATCTAAAATACTTCACATGAAAATCTTATATTTTACTCTACATTTGGCAGGCTGTAGCTTAGACACAGAAGCTTCAAACTTATATAATCTATACGTATATACTCTATGGATATCAGTTTATATAAATAATGGAAGTAATACTTCAAAGTGAACAGATACAGTATAAAACCATTAGAGGGAACATTTAGAGAGAAGTGGTGTAAAACTGTACTGTTGAACTGGGAAACTTGTCAGCTCTCACCACACATTAGGATTGCTGGATAAAGTGCCTGGAGAGCTGAGATTACAGCGTGAACCTTCAGCTTTCAGTTGTTTTATCAACCAGAGACATCATTTAGCCTGAACCCAAGCTGAAGAGAAGCTTAAAACAGGGTTTCTATATTCTTATTGCGTTCAGGTTTCCAGGTTTTAAAGGCGATTTTTGTCAGCCGAGAGCAAACGTGGTGAAAATGTGTTACATCCTGAGCTACTCTGCTATTATACTGCTAAATGTTTGCCCAAAGCTTGAGGCTACGACTACTTTATTTGACTGAAATAAGCACCTCTGCTGGATTTTCCTTGAAGCTGTCAAATAAACTTTTGAGTCATATTAGGAGCTTCTCTATACATCTGCACAAACTGGACTTTTTACTTCCTTGCAGAAGTAATTTTTAACTGTTTAGAGAAATATTTCTTAACACACAAGGAAAAAGAAAAAACCTTAAATGTACTCTGAGGTTACCAAAAATATTACAAGTTTGCTACTTCAAATCCTTAAAATGCTCATCTGACACAATATAGACCATGATGCACTGCAAAACTGCCATTTTTTTTCCCACCTGAAGCCTTGTGTAAAATGACTTACGAGGCAGTGATCGGGGCACGCATTTTTCAGTCACATCAAATGATTGTCGACAACCACAAACAGACTAAAAGGACAAACTCAAGCTAATTAAAGGTGGACTTCATATTTGTTGATGTGGTTTCTCAGCTGCCGATATGAAAACGAAGAAAAGTGCAACTCTGCTTCACTGGAGTTCGAGCCTATCAGCCTCTGGTTGACGTTAGTAACAGAAAAAAGGGATAGAGCTCTATTAAAAATCGATCTAAGCATCACACTTCCAAAAAAATACTATAATAAAGCCTTTTTTTTGGTTATAAATCACTGTTGTGCTACCAGTTATGTAAAATATGAGTGCACAGAACAAAGACACTAAAATAAGAAAATATAAGTTCTTTTTTTAGGTGAAAGGGAACATCTGGATCATGCTTATTGCCAATTCTTTTGCCATCTAAGCACTTGGACTCGTGAAGACCCGATCCCCTTACAATGGAAGAGATGGAGCCCTGGAAGCTTTAGAAGAGGAAGAGAGGAGAGGAAGTCCTCCGCTTACGAACAATGGTGGTTTTTGCAGACTGGGAGGACGGGCCATGTTGTTGGGAAGCAAAAGGAAAGGACGAGGAAGTGCTGCAAGAAAGCTCAGTCTATTCATGCCTGGCCACAGACGCTCGGATCCTCAGAGCAAGCTGCAGCGGAAGAAGCTGGTCTTTTTCTGAGGCTCGGAAATTTTGACTCCGTGGCTGCTGCTCTGAGGTGCGTTGGCTTCCTGCAACAGATCCAACACGCCATAAAAGATTAGCGGATGTTGTAAGTAAATACAGCATATTGTTAAAAAAAGTCAAAGAAATTGTAACACAAATTGCCTTTTCTCACCATTTTTGAGTCCATTTTTGACTTGATTTCTCTAGCAAGAGTCAAGAAAGCCTGGGAAACAAAAAAATAAAAAATAAAACTTTTCAGTTTGTCTTTAATTGCTTACTTGTTTTTGCAAAATACTTTTATTGCAATGTCTTATTTAGACATGAAGGCAGATTGCTGTCCGATTAGTGGGAAACAGTACATGTCTGCAAGGGGCTTAAAGGTAAAGATAACGTAATGTTATGCATATAACTACTGTTCCCTGAAGGAAAGGAACGAGGTACAACATCATGTATGGGAACCACGCCCCTGCGTGTCCTGGCTGAAGCCACCTCTAATCACGCCTTTAGGCAGGTGACGTGATGACGACAGATGTCAGGCTCCGCCTGCACATATAAATATTGTCGCATCACCGTCACTCCTTAGTTCAGTAACTGCTCTTCACCGAGCCCAGCTGTGTAGCGGGGCCTCCATGTGTTGTACCTCGTTCCTTTCCTTCAGGGAACAGTAGTTATATGCATAACATTACGTTCCCTTTCAGTCAATTCACTCGGTACAACATCATGTATGGTAAATGGTAAATGGTACTGAACTTATAGAGCGCTTTTCAAGTCCCTCCGGACCCCCAAAGCGCTTTACACTAACAGACATTCACCCATTCACACTCACATTCACACACTGTATGGGACATATATAAACGCCCCGCAGAGCAGCACCAAACTTGGGTCATAATAACATGCTAGTGCAGCACATCAGACCCAGCGGAGAGCACAGAGTGAGCCACCGAGGGGGCTGTCACATCTAAGCGATAYAACTGAACAAATGTGTGCGGTGAAGACCAGCTGGCCGCAACACAGATGTCACTCACAGGTACCCCTTTAAATAGGGCCCAGGATGCTGCTACACCCCTGGTGGAYTGAGCRCTCACACCAGATGGGACTGGGAGGCCCCTGCTGCTGTAAGCTAACGAGATAGCCTCCACAATCCAGTGGGAGAGTCTCTGTCTGGACAGAGCVCTGCCCCTGAGTGGGTTAGCAATACACACAAATAGCTGATCYCATGACCTCACCTCCTGTGTGCGATCAATGTAAATACGCAGTGCACGTAGAGGACACAGAGAATGTAACCTCCTCTGTTCCTCATATGCAAAAGGAGGAGGGTAAAAACTAGAAAGCTCAATGGACATGGAGCTYTAGTMAGAAGGTATCACCTTAGGGAGATACGCTGAGTTTGGATGCAGCACCACCTTGGAGCCATCAGGTGAAAACTGAATACAGGAGGGATTTACAGACAGAGCATGGAGATCCCCGACCCGTTTAACAGTTGTTAGTGCCAATAGCAACACAACTTTATATGAAAGGAACTTCAGATCTACAGACTCCAAGGGCTCAAAAGGGGGGTCACAGAGAGCCTCGAGCACCACAGTAAGATCCCAAGTGGGGATACTGGGTTTAATAACCCAGTATCCCCACTTGGGATCTTACTGTGGT